ATGTATACTAGGAGACTGGGCTCCAGAAAATATGTAGATTATTCTCAAAATAAGCTCCAACAGTGCCTTTCTGCTATTAATGAAGGCCGAATGAGTCCGAGAGTAGCATCTAAACATTTTGGCATATGTAGCACTACCATCCAAAATAAACTAAAGGTATAAAATACAATCACAACCCAGAACCTCTTACAACATTTACTGATTTGGAAGAATCATTTTTCTTTTTTTATATGTTAGCAGTGTCTAAGTTTGGATTTTCTGTGGATGAAATGAATTTCTGTGAATTAGGTTCATTTAAACGATTACCCCTCTTCTCAAAACAAAATTACTCCACGGTTTAGAAATAATTTTACAAGACTAGAATGGAGTAAATTATTTTTAAAAAGACATCCTATGCTCACTTTGTGATTTTAATTTTTATTTATTTTAGGTGCCTCAAAAAGTCCTTACGGTCTTATCACAGAGCACCGCCGAAGAGCATTTTAAAGGTAGTTTACGCCTCTTTCCTTACCGATGTTATAAAACTTACCCAGAGGTGGCATTGAACTACGAATCTCTAGCGTCCGAGGCATGCGCTCTGACCACTGCACTACAGCTACAGTCAAGTAAAAAAAAAACATTTAAAATAAAACGTATTTGTGTGTTTACCACCTCATCACATTTGACACAACCTCTAGATGTTGCCTACATTAGGCCACTAAAATGTAAATGGAAAACCGTTTTGACTTAATGGAAAGAATCACCAGCAGGTAAATCCACAGCACTTCCAAAAAAACACTTTCCATTACTTCTAAAAAAAAGTGCTGGAACTAATAAAACACATTTAGTGAAAATTTGATATCAGATTTTGCTAAGTGATAATTTTTTCCTTGCGATAAAAAACCTCTAATGAATCGCCTGCCACTGCAAGATCGATCATCTTTTGATCTAAGTCTTATTTCCAAAGCATTTATCAGTCATTTAAATTACAATTGTGCAGATTTGGACTTTCGATATTAAAGTGCAAATTAAATATTTCATCAGGAAAAGGAATCTGTCCTGACTCAGATGTTATGCTAGTCAAAAAGGTAACAAGTTTTGAAAAAAGTATTCATGTTTTTAATCTATTTTATAAATCAATTTGCTTGAATCAATAATTTGAATAAGTTTTTTTTTTAATATTTTGAATAGAGCAAAACTGATTGTTAAAACTAAAAATCGCATTAAAGTGGATTAAAATAACCACATGTTACCGTACATGTTATATGAAGAATGAAATTCTTTCTACATGACTATAAACTGCGGTGTTCCTCAAGGTGCAGTTTTGAACTCCTTTTTTGTTTCTTATTTATGAAAATAATTTCCATAAGTTTTCAAACATTTTAAACTCAGTTCTATTTGCAAATAACACAAACTTTTTTTTCTCTTAAGGAGATATCAACCTATTGTTTAAAATAGTAAATTAGTAACTTTTAAACCTAACAGAAAGCAGGAGCGGATTCAGACCATCTACTAAGGAGGGCGATTTCTTTTTTTTTTTTTTTTGTGGAAAATTTAGGAAAGAAAGAGGGAGAAGGAATTTTTTTTTTTAATTTATTTTGACGTTTGTTAAAAACTACAAAAACAAATTGCAATAATAGAAAAATCTGGCGGAAGAAAGAAGAAGACAAACTTGTCTTATCACTGAGCCCCGCATTAGTGTTTTTAAACCTTTTAAAAAAGTTACATAACGAACAATTGATAAATAAAAAAGTATAAGTACGGTATAACAATAATAAATACGGTACGGTATAATATAATAACTGATAAATAAAACAGTTTAAGTACGGTACATACAAAACTTCAGCTATAAAATTAATTTTTTCTAAGAATCTTCCAGCGGAATAATTTAAAAAAATAAAATAAGACAAAAATGAGATAATCGCGACAGTTATCAACCACAAATAAATGCGTTAAGCTTTACTAAAAATAATGTAACGTAAATAAGTATTTAGGGTTGATTAATAAATAACAAAACTTAAAACAAAAAGAAAACGATTAGTAAAAAAAGATAAATTAATTTCAAATGATTTATTTAATTCAAATCATTTTAAATTGTTTTTAAAAAAGACATTTGAAATCTAGTATATCGAAGTCCATGTTTAGTAAAAGCCGTTTTAAACCACCATTAAAACTTTCCGAGTTGCAACTTAAAACAAAGTCTTGTTTTTTAATAAAAATATGAAGAAAACTTTTCCAAACAAAGGTCTTTGTTTGGAAAAGTTTTCTTGATAAAGTTGTTCAAATAAAGAATGATAAAGTTGTTCAAAAATTTGGTAGGCTATTTATCTCTAAGCTGACGTATAAGATGTTCACAATTTGCATTCCTGTTTTTTATATATTGGTATCCCATCAATCCGATTTCATTTTACACTACACAAATTTATTAAAAAATTAAAATTTTTTATCGCATTTGAACTTTCTACTTTCGTTTTCGAAAAATTGCTAAGTTAAATATATAAATTTACAAAAAAAAAAATCTTTTCAAATGATCTAAGGGGGAACAATCGCTCACCATCAGTTGGCGGAATAGTAAAGGCGAACAAACTATCCTTAATTTTAAATCAAACTAGGTATACTTTTTTTATAAACTTTATGAAAAAAAACTTTAAAAAAGTTAACTATGACCAAACATACTAACAAAAACTATTGCTACATGACAGAGAGTTTTGCAAAAACTCTTTTCAAAATTTCACATATGCCAACTTGTCCCGTCTTACCCTACCATATTCAATATTTAAGGCAACAATATATAAAACATATAAGTATATATTATCATTTGCCTCACTTAAAAATTAAAATAATATTAAAATTGTGATGTCGTATCGTGCGTGTTTACTCAATTAAAATTGGAAATTTTCGTTAGTTTGCAAATTACCGTTATCCAAATGATGCGAGTTCTTGATTAAAAAATACCTTTGGTGTGTTTCTTAAATGAGTTGTGATTAAACATATTACAAAAATAATTTTGTAATAACGTCATAACCTAAAAAACGTTCTGGGACTGAGAATTGGTGCGTCAAAGTTGCTTCTAAAAAATTTTGTTATTCGAGTGTAAATTTAAAATATTAATAACTAAAATCGTTTTCCTACTTATGTTAGTAAAGACAAATTAAACAAGTCAAATATAGTAGACATGTTTAATTTATTTCATATGTTTTTTTTTTTTTTTTTTTTATAGCTTAAATTGTCTTGTAAACAATAGTATTGCTTCTTAAAAGCTAGCAAATCAAAAAAGGCCAAAAAAGAAATGTTACTTTATTTGTTTGAAATTTCCATATTCCGAAACCTTGAACAATTGGGCGATTTTTTGTAAATCATGTTTTTTTAAATAGTTACCAATCTATTAAATGCATAAAATTAAATTGCCGTAATACATCCCACTCAACCCTAAAAACGTATTAGAATAGTGATGTATTTTGTAGGTGTTTTAATTACTTTAATAACTCCTTACTCGTATACAATTAAAGTTAGTAACTTTCTATTGTTTGGAAATTATCATTTTCCGATTAACGCGAGTTTTTGGTTTCATAAATACTTTCAGGGTGTTTTTGTAATTAGTTAGTAGATTGTATAAAAAGGGTAAAAATTAGCATTGAACAAAGTTAGTTGAAGCTCAGAGAGAATGGTTTATCTTTGCATTTTTGTTACGTTCCTGATTTCTTTTCAAGTTTTTGTGAGTAAAATTAACGATTATATTATATATTTATATATTTATATTATTGTAAAACATAGTTTTCTATATAATAATGTAACACTATACATATTAATTAATAAGTTACTTTTGAAATATATGCAACTTATTGTTTAGCTAGGTGAAGCAGCTCCTTTCAAGCATGCAAAAGATATTATTGCCGATACAAAGTGAATACTATCCTTGTTTTTAAAAGTTTCGGTATTTCAAAATTTGCAAAGTTCTAATTACATTATCTCATTTAGAAATAAAGACAATGATAACGAAGATGAATCTAATCGCGAAGTAACTTTCATTTTTTTTATTATTTCTTTTTTCGCTAGACTTGTTTCTTATTTTTTAAACGTTTTTATCGCGTTTAGTTTTAGTTAAATTTTTATTTTATTATTTTCAAATAGACTAGTTTGGAAGTATAAATGAGTTTTTCAATTTAGGAAAACAAAGATTTATTTTCAAACAAATTGAGTGATTATGGTGGAGGATATGGAGGATATGGAGGATACGGTGGCGGATATGGTTATGGCAAAAAAGAGATGTAGGCTTTATTCTTTTAAAACTTATGTTTATAATTCTAAATTAAAATACATGTTTATAATTCTAAATTAATTATAATAAAAAAGTTTTAAAAAAACTATTGAAAATTCATCACACACCCAATATTTTTCAGTTAAATTTTTAACAGATTCTTATTTTATGCTCAAACTTCGTAATAAACTAACTCCTAGAATATTTAAAACACTTTTCAATAAAATTAATCATATTTACCCTATAAAATTGTCAAATAACATTTATGAGCAACCTAAAATGCATTATTTGGTTAGTTTTCTATTGCCATCAGAAATTACACTTTATTAAAAACGAACTGAAAAATTGTTCTTCTTTTTCTCTTAACTTATTTTAACTTAAAACAGATCAAGTTTTGAACAAATTTTTTTTTACCTTTTTAATTGTAAAGAAACACTTGATAACTTGATACAATGATAGCACGTTACAGCAAACGGGGCGTAGCGATAAACCAAACATTGTTTTCTTTTTGCTGCAGTCATGTATATATTATTTATATAATACGAGATTGTATATATTTTATTATTTCAAACATTAAACCGTGTTTTTATCTTTGATCTAGAAATGAAGACGAAGATAAAAGTGAAGGTGGATATGGTGGATATGGTTACGGAAAAAGAGAAACGTAAGAATTTGAGAACTATTGTTTGACTAATTCTTAGTTCGAATGAAACTATAAATAACGCATGTTTTTTTTTTGTTTTACCTAAATATAGAGAACGAGATGGGGGATACGGAGGTGGATACGGTTACGGAAAAAGAGAAACGTAAGAATTTGAGAAAATTGTTTGACTAATTCTTAGTTCGAATGAAACTATAAATAATGCATGTTTTTTTTTGTTTTACCTAAATATAGAGAACGAGATGGGGGATACGGAGGCGGATACGGAGGTGGATATGGTTACGGAAAAAAAGAGATGTAAGCTTTTATTACATTATGCTATATTTTGTATTATTGGTAATAATATCGACATAACATTTGAAGGACAATGCTAGAGAACGTACTTAGTTGTTTTGTATTACCTTTACCTATATTTTATCTAATTATTGGGTGATTAAAATAAATTAATAGTTGAGTTTTATTTTTGATTTAGAAATGAAGTAGCTGACCCTAGGGGAGGTGGTAGCAGAAGTGGCGGAGGAGGTGGTGGTGGTGGCGGTGGAGGTAGCAGAAGTGGCGGAGGAGGTGGTGGTGGTGGCGGTGGAGGTAGCAGAAGTGGTGGAGGCGGTGGTGGCGGCGGCGGTGGTGGTAGCAGAAGCAGAGGCAGAGGCAAATAATAATCGTAAGCGATGTTTATTTAAAAACTTTACTTTTTTTGTTATTATAGTTTTCAGTAAGTTCTCTAATATTTTTAACGTTTTTTGTTTTAGCGTTGAAAGAAGACAGCATTCAAGTTTAATTTGCAAGAAACAGTTGTAATCTTATTCTATATAATATATTTTTCAAACTAAACTTTGCCTTATTTATGCTTAAAAACTTATCATTTAACCATATCACCTTAGTATAACGCACAGTTTTAAGATTTTCAAGAGTTACGTATTTTCTGCTTCTTTACGAATCAAAAGTTTTTACAAAAAGATTTGTTTGCTTTGAGTTGGGTAGAAACTTTGAAGTTTTTTCTTCGTTGTCAACTTAAAACAATAACAATTCTGCTAAATTTTAAAAAAAGTATTATAAAAACATTTGGCGGAATGTTTAGACCTAGAAGATAAAGATTTTACGAATTTTTTGTTTTGTTGTTGTTGTTGTTCCTTTGCTTAAATATTCAATAAACTTATAGAATAAAGGTAGTTAAGATAAAAATCGTTACACAATAAAAAAATGTAACAAAATATACAGGTATAAAATAAAAACAAAAAAGAACGCGTAGACTCAGGCAGAAGACCTTCAGATCTTATCGTCGAGAACCGCTCGTGAATATTAAGTACATTAAATTAACATGAAATATATATAAAATATATAAAATAAAAATAAAAAGCAATGTCGTAGTAATAATTAGCGAGAACATAAATTTCGTAAAAATATATAAATAAAATTGTTATAAAGAAATTTTTTATACTTTTATATATAAATACAGAAATATTTTAAAAAGTACTGTTGTTATAAACACACTAGATGTGGATCATGTATTCTAATATTTATTACCTTATGTAATAAGCTTCATGTTAATTTTCAGAAGAATTTAAAAATATGAAAAAATATCTTTAAAAGCTAAAATAATTTCTTTTATTTTTTTCTTGAATGAAAGATAATTCCATTCATGGGAAAAATCAAAATTTTTCAAAACTATTTTGTTCCAAAGAAAAGCTCTTCGAAATGAAATACACGACTTTTCAAAATTAGTTAGAGAAAAAGGTTGCCGAATTAGATAATCATTTCTTAAGTTATATTTGTTTTTATCTTTTAAGGTATATAGATTATGAAAAGAAACAGGAGATGCGTTGGTTTTACATTTGTACATAAAACAAAGTATACTAAATATTCAGCTGATAAATATTAAGAATTTTCATTTGAAATAATAATGGTTTGGCATGAGCAAATCGATCTTTATAATTGATAAGACAATATGATTGTCATTCTCTTTAACATGGTTTGTGTACTAACAAAAAAAAATTTTTGGTAAATCAGTTTTTTTCATTTGTAAAACCATTAGCGAATGTTGTAATTACACATTAATATAGCAATAAAAACACAAAGGCCTTATTTTTCTTCTGATATTTCGTCGAAATGATGCAGTTTTAATTTCCTCGTTTAGAAAAATTTGTTTTGAATTTTCTCAAAATATTGATTTTATTACTTCATCTTCTGATAGAGATCAAGGAGACTGATTAACGGGTCTTTAAATTGTGCTTTTAATATATGTATGTAGTATATTAAATTGCAGGATTACATTTGTCTATACTGTAGCCAAATTTGTGAATCTTGTCACCGTAAAATAAAGTATTGATCACTCAGATGTTTTCTACCTTTTTAAATATTTCGTTTTTTTACACTTTAATTGTTTATTTGCAACATTCCTTGAGTAATTTATTATTTCAGCAAACTGAACCTCAACATAAGTTTAATCAAAAATATTTTATCGTGATGTTTTTAGAGGGCGCATTGTCCCAATTCGAGGCCGTAAACCTAAGATAGAGTACCTTAGAGTTATCGTCTTTCATAAAACTCATCAAAGAAAGCTGTTTTTTTTTCCAAATTGTTTGTTTTTATGAAAGTATGTTTGTTGAGATCTTTGTAATAATTTTAGTTCAGTACCTAATGCGTAACAAGGGGTCCGCAGCCGCGGGGAAGGGAGAGAATTATTAAGGTCCCAGCAATACTTTGCAAAAGTTGTATAAAATTACATGCATATTAACATTAAACTATTAATGTTATTATTATGTAGCTATAAAATGTAAGGTTTTTTTCATTTTGTAAAAAACATACAGGATCTCAAAGAAGATACGGATGGCTAAAGTTAATACAACTTTTTTATAGGGCCCCTATGCAAGTTTGACGACTTTAAGATAAAGTAAGATTGTTTAAAATACTGTTTTGTAGGGTTTGCAATCCCGGAGTTCTTTCTCAATCCCGATAGATTTCGGGATTGAGAAACATCAATCCCGGGATAGAAAAGAACTTTATACAGAACTTATTTACATATATATATATATGTATATATATATATATATATATATATATATATATATATATATATATATATATATATATATATATGTGTGTGTATATATATATATATATATATATATATATATATATATATATATATATACATACATATATATATATATATATATATATATATATATATATATATATATATATATATATATATATATATATATATATATATATATATATATATATATATATATATATATATATATATATAAATAGAGGCCCGCACAGAGTCTTTGTGGTGCGCAGGGTCACTTTTTGTGAACAAAACCAAACAAAATGTGACCCTGCGCACCACAAAGACTCTGTGCGGGCCTCTATATATATATATATATATATATATATATATATATATATATATATATATATATATATATATATATATATATATATATATATATATATATATATATATATATATATATATATATATATATATATATATATATATATATATATATATATATATATATATATATATAAATAGAGGCCCGCACAGAGTCTTTGTGGTGCGCAGGGTCACTTTTTGTTTGGTGTCCCAAAATGTGAATTTCTGTGTGTATATTGAATGAATTGCATAAATTTTACTGTTATCCGTATTTCTACATTTTTATTACATTTCTACATTTCTATTACATTTTTACTATTACATTAAAATTTAATGAAAACAATAATTATTTTTGTATTAACTATCGCTGCACATAAACACTCTATATTTGAACTTGGTTATATATGATAAAAAAAAAAAAATACAATTACAATTTAAAATGAATGGAATTATATATTTCATAAATAAAATATTAATTACGAAGACTAGTCAGATCACACTAATTTCACTTATCAGGGCTTTCTTCTTTGCGAAACTAGAGATGGCATTTTCGTACGATAAAGTTTTGGCAAGGTCGTTTTCAATTGAAATCACCATAAAGTTAGTAAGGCTTTATTTAGTCATTGTTGATCGCAATTTGGATTTGATGAGAGCAAGCTTACTGAAAGAACACCCATTGAACTCCTCTTTATTTGCATCATTTACGTTGAAATTTGCCAGGACTTTGCATTTTTCTTTCTGACTAAGTTTTTCTTTATCACTAGAAGGAGATGGAAAACACCATATAAACGAAAACATATCCATCGTCTTTTAAGCTGTAACCATTCTGTATCTTATCTGGTGGAGCAGCATGTCAAGAGCAACATTAAACTCGTTCACCTCAAAACCCTTTGATTCGTCTTTGTGGAAGTGGCTGTGTTCATCGACTCACCCTAAAGTATTTCCCTTTTCCTTGTCCTCTTCTTAACAAAATCATTTTGAAACCCATTTCATCCAGCATGTTTAATGAACCTACACATATATGAACATAATATTAAAATAAAGATTACATCGAGATTAATATTCCAAGCAACATTAAAGTTATTTTATGAACATAAACTGCTAACACACTTTGGAAACTTAGATTTCTCGAAGCTAAATGGAGAGTGAAAATTTCGTAAAAAGCGTAGCCAGGAACTTTTTTCTAAGTAGAATCTCTAGGAAAGAATGCAGGAGTTTTAAGTGGTCCATGGATTTTTAAGTGGACTAGATTGCGTTCGACTTTAGATAAAACCCTCTTCCACAAAGCGGGATCGTTTCTAACTGCTTGATCACCCATTAAATTGCCTTATGATTCTAAATTAAAAAAAGGATTAGAGAATTGTGGTACGTTTTTAATATCTGCAGATATTAAATGATATGTTTTTAGAATCTGCAGATAATAAATGATATATCTGTAATACCTGCAGGTTTTTCATAAAAAAAAAATACGTCTCAAACTCGCCCAATTACCATCTTCTTCTTCAGAGACCGTTGAAAAATTTTGAAGAGGAAGATGGCTTTCTTAGACTCAAGGGTTCATCAACGCTGTTAGTAGCATGGTCCTTCTAAAAAAGAATTGTTTTTTTAGTTTTAAAATAATTTTTTTTTAAGGTAACAAAGAAGTCCCTTACGGTCTTATCACAGAGCACTGCGGAGGAATATTATATTCTTTACTTCACGTATACGTTTATATAAAATATTGGTAAGTAGATCCGCGTGATCTTTCTTTGGATTATAAAATATATATTTGAATTATATATATATATGAAATTTGTAAAAATTTGATACTGTTAATGCTTGTTTGAACTTATTTAAGGTTCTGACGACAAGATCCTTTGATCTTCTTTCAGATACCTTATTTTATATTTGTGAAAGTTTATTATTATTATCATTATTTTTTTTTTTTTTTTTTGGCAATATATAGTTGTAATACGACCAACAAATGTAAAATTAAAAAAAAAAAAAAAAAAAAAAAAATATTTAATTGGAAGTTCATGCCTCCTTCCTAACCGATGTCGCAATTAATTGGAAGTTCATGCCTCCTTCCTAACCGATGTCGTAATTTAATTGGAAGTTCATGCCTCCTTCCTAACCGATGTCGCAAGACTTGCTCAGAGTTGGGGTTTGAACTAGGGATCCTTTGCTTTTGAGGCAAGTGCGCTACCACTGCGCCACGGCTGCTCTAACTTATGCTTACTCTAAATTATGAATATAAGATTGTGAATTAAAAATAAAGCTGTTAAACTACTTGGTCAGACGTAGAGTTATCAAATGACTTTATTTTTTGAACTTTATTGAAACCACACTCTTCCAGAGTACGTTTGTTCTTGTATTCTTTTACAATTTTTTCTGCAGCATCTTTTCTGCCTTAA